AGTTCAAACTAATTGAGCCTGAGGAGGTGGGCCTCTCAGAGGACTCCACCCCCTCCTCTGGGCCTGGTGATGAGGGAACCTGGGAAATGGCGGCACGTGCCTTCACCATCGTCCTTGCTTTATCCAACCCAAGTTCTTTTTTTTTTTTTTTGGTGGCTGGCCAGTACAGGGATCCGAACCCTTGACCTTGGTTGTATATGGCTGTGCTCTAACCGGCTGAGCTAACCAGCCAGCCCCAACCCGAATTCTTGCCAAGCCTGAGTCTGTGGGCTGGTGCTTAGTTGCAGGGCTAGCTTAGCACTTTGCACCAAAACTGTCAAGTGCTCTTCCTGACCTGCCCCCATATTTCCTCTGCTGAGGGAGCATCTCCACCTCGAAGCTCTGTCTCTTTTGTCCCAGGTTGCCAGGCTCTGGGGCATCCAGAAGAACCGGCCGGCCATGAATTATGACAAGCTGAGCCGCTCACTTCGATACTATTATGAGAAGGGCATCATGCAGAAGGTCGGGAGCTGAGGGTCCAGGGACCAGGGGGTGGGGGGCAGTGGTTGTGGGAAGGTGATGGGGAGGGGGTCAAGAGAGCATTTCTCAGTAAGTTTGTAGGAGCAGATAATGAACGAGTCAGAGGGGCCAAGAAATTGTGGACAATCTCAAGGTTCCCCTTTCTCAAAAAAGTACTAGTCAGTCATGGAATGGTACAGAGCACGGAGAGATGAGATGAGAGGTGAGCGAGAACTATGAAAGGAAAGGAACATGCCCCACGCACCTGCCTGGGCCGGGAGGAGGGCTGCACCCCCACCTCTACACCGAAGGGGGATAGATAGTCTGACCCAGCCCCCTCCTCCCGTAGGTGGCTGGCGAGCGTTACGTGTACAAGTTCGTGTGCGAGCCCGAGGCCCTCTTCTCCCTGGCCTTCCCGGACAATCAGCGTCCAGCTCTCAAGGCTGAGTTTGACCGGCCGGTCAGTGAGGAGGACACAGTTCCTTTGTCCCACTTGGATGAGAGCCCCGCCTACCTCCCAGAGCTGGCTGGCCCTGCACAGCCCTTTGGCCCCAAGGGTGGCTACTCTTACTAGACCCCAGCGGCTGCTCTTCCTGCTGTGGGTGGGTGCTGCCCTGTGTACATACAGAATTTGGTGTTGGGGAAACCCTCACTCTGAAACCCAGATGTCTCTGGGGCAGATCCCCACTGTCCCGTCAGTCACCTGGGCCCAGACTCTGAGCTGCTCACCAGAGTCATTGGGAAGGAAAACTGGAGAAACAGCAAGTCTAAAGGTGGAGTCTCAGAAACTCCCCCAGGGGCTTCGCCTCTGCCCCTGCGGAGTTCAGCTCAGCCTCTGCCTAGGTCCTGCTTAGAAGTCCAATCCCTGCTCCTTTTCCCCTACCACAGAGAACAAGAGTTTATTCTGTTCTGGGGGACAGAGAAGGAGCTTCCCAACTTTATCTTGGCAAGGGGGAGAGGGCTCACTGAACTCCCAGCTCTCCCACCGTGGGGAGCCTGGACTCTGCACTCCGCCCCAAGCCGTGGCCCTGGAGGGACCCACTTGTCAGTTCTTGGTGCTCTGTGTTCCCAGAGGCAGAGGGAGGGTGGAGAAAGGAACCCGGGTTGGGGGCGGTGGTGCTAGGTGGAGGCAGGGAGGGGTGGGTTCCTCCTCCCAGGGGCCCTCTACCTCTCCTCTGCCTTTTCTGAGGCCCAGGCCTGGGATTCCACCTCCACCTCCACCATATCTGCTGGACCTTAATAAAGGCCCCTGCCTCTCCTGTTAATTCTCCTGTGTCCTCTTTGTTGCCATGGGGGAGGGACCTGGGGTGGAAAGAGCTCTGGCCTTGGTGTGTGGGCCCTGGCCACGCCATTCAACTTTCCAAAAGGATTTGGAAAAAGGCAGTTCACCTCTGACTTGGTTTTTCCTCTGGAAAATGGACTTTAATATCTGCTCTTCCCCTCCCAGGACTACTGTGTGAGGATCTAGAATAATGGACAAAGGGTACTCTGTAATCTGGATGGGCGCTCCTTGGCCACCTTCAGCATGGTTCTGGCAGCCATCTCCTGCCCCTGTGGGTTGCAAGGCCCTCCATCCTGGGGCTGCCTCAGGCAGGGTCTTGGTGTTTGGTTTCTGTGGTCATTGTTGCTCCCATGACCAAGATGTCCCACATGTATCCCAACTGTGTGTCCTCCCTTCTGCCCAGTTCCAGATTGCTATCTTGCTGGAGTTAGGGACAAGTGCTTGCAAGTGTTTGTCTAGAGAATGGGCCAAAGGAAAAAAGCACCCAGGCAGGAGGGTACAGGGAGAGGCTAGAGCAGGTCCTGGGTTCTGGCCAGTGAAGGAGACTAGATCTTCAGGGGAAAGGGGAGTGGGAAACAGCATAGATTCTCCTTGCCCTAATTTTTGTTTTTTCTTGCCGCTGGCTGGTTCAATGATCAAACCCTGGACTTTGATGTTATCAGCGCCATGCTCTAACCAACTGAGCTAACCAGCCAGCACCTTGCCCAAATTTGAGAGACACCAGGTCCTGGGGGTGACTTCAGCAGCGGGTAGAAAAGGCAAGGCTGAAAAACTGGTGACACCTACAGAAGGAGTATGACTGAGCAGATATGACAGAGGGTAGCTGAGGAGACAGGAGGGACAGAATGGGTGGTTCTAGAGCCAGTCCCTGTGTAAACAGCTTCCCAGGAGACAGGCGCAGGTAAAACAGACGCTCTCCTGTTAAATAGGAACTGCAGCTGTGTGAGGCTGGGCCAGCCCAACTCTGTTAGTGCCTGAACCATTTCTACCAGCAGCTTCTGGCCAACACTGATCCCAGACCAGGGCAGCCCTCGCAGGAAGGGGTGCCTCTCAACCACTACCCACAAATAGACAGCAACATTATTTTTTCTTAGACAACACATCAATGTACTGACTACAATTTAGAGCAAGAAACAAAATCAATTTTAAAAAACAAGTTTTTAGAAATATATTAATTCCACATGAAAGCCAAGCAATCACCAAGGGGAGGTGTAAAACTCAGGTGGAAACCCTGAGGGCTGAGTGCACGCACTTGAGGAGGGAGGGATTTAGATGAGAAGCAGTATCCAGGGAAAGGTCTCCACGGGCTGAGAGCTTTGACCTCTGCCCTCTGAACTGTTCATTAACAAGCCACTCCACAGCTCTTTGTTCAAATCCTCAAACTCGGAGGGGCACTGCTCTGATGAGACAGCTACAGCTACCACTGGGAGGAAATTCTTCAGACTAGCGGAGGGATAGCCAAAACCAAATCCTGCTCCAGCCTGGATGAGGCAAACCTGGACCCAGGAGCCTGACCCAGCAGTACAGCTTACATCTGACCTAGGGGATGGTCCCCCCACATACACAGAACACAAGCACAGACTTGGCACACATGCAAGGGCAGGAAACTCCTGAGCTAGGCTCCCACTGGGTTGGGGTGAACAGCATACTTTAATGGCCAAGAAGATTCCAGCTGTCTGCACAAGACCCACATCCTCTCCTGGGCTGTCACTCAATCTCGGGAAATACTGGTTCAAGGAAGAGAGACAAGGGCCTCATTGTGTGAGGGCAGTGGTTGAGCTCTCCTGAATCTGGATGGGAGCCCTCTTCTTGCAGGCTCTGCTCTGCTGCCGACATGGCTTTCCTGATGGACAGGCAAAAGGTCAGACCCCAGCCATGTTGTCGCAGTAGAGAAGTGACCCCAGCTCTAGGGTAGAGATGGTCCAGGAACACCCACAGAGTTGGGGCCCTTCCTTTGTTCACATAAGCCAGAAAGATGATCAGCCCTGCCATCCCTCACCCTTGGCCTATTAAACACCCCCTTTCAACCTCAGATAAAAACCCAAACCTCCCTCCTCGGACACCAGTACTGTGCGCACAGCTGGGACAGTTTGTTCCTGAATGGGGGCAATCAAGGCTGGAATTAAGATTGAGGAGCTGGGTGCCCAGCCCCTGCTACCCTTTTGGTGTCATGTTGTTGGTCCCTGCACTGTCTCTCCCCATAAGGCATTAAAGGTTAATACACAACAATGCCCTGCCCTTGATTAGCAGCCTGGGCTTACTAAGGAGCATACCCAAACAGAATCTGGCAGTGCTCACTCAGCTTAACGAAACGGCAGAGATCTGCAGTCAGCAGACGCCCTGGCCTATATTCCTCTCGCTTGGATCCTTTCTGAATTGTATCTTTAGGGTAGTTTATTTGCTGCCCAGTGATACCATACATTCCTTTATATCCTAGAATGTTGTATAGTCTTTTTTAGTGCCTGGCATACAATTCTACAGTAGTTCTAGTACTTACATAATTTCAGGACTTACTACTATGGGGATGGGAGGAGGCAGTGGGTGCACCATCATAACATGGGATGTGCCCAATCTCCCAGGGAGTTTCTCTACAAGCCCCACATCCAGACCAGCTTTCCAGAAGTTCCACAATTGGAACTAGCAAGACCTGCCTGATGTTCCTCTAGGTAAAGAGCCTCTTTGAGAGCTGTGAGGGGGCACTAGAAGGTGGCCATTCCCCAACCAAGTGTTAGGAAAAACCCACTAAGAACAAGCCCCTGAGCACAGGTACTGAGCAGCATACATATAGCTGGCTCTGAGGCTCTGAGAGGTGTTAAGTTCCTTTTCTGTTTGAGGTGGGGGAGGGGAGGCTTTGACCATAAAACCCCTTTGTTAAAGTCCTGAGGACCTCAGGGGAAAAAATAAAAACAAAATAAAATAAAAGCTGTGTCATTACTTAGCACATTTCAGAAGGAAATGGGAGCCACTGCACATTGGGAGTGTGGTGGGAGGGGAAGGGAAGGGGAGGGAGTGAGGAAGACCCTTCTACATCAACATGTGGCCTGCAACCACTCAGGCCCCAGACGGAAGTGCTCTGTGGGGTGGATGTGCTTAATCCTGGGGTGACCCACCAGCAGAGCTGGGCAAGCACTGGTGCTGAAAGACAAGACTGGAGGCACGGGCTGTGCATCAGGTCAGGTGGGAGCCCAAAGAGGCCCTGGGCTCTGGTTTCAGGGGATTTTCCCTCACGTGCACCAGAGCCACAGATACTAAATCTCCCTCACCTTAATAAGCCCAGGCCAATATCCCAACCTTTCAGCTAAAAGAAACAGTCACAGAAAACCCTTTTTGTTTCCTTAAGAAAATAAATATTTCTAGCAGGTTAAGCCGAAGTACAGGGGCTGGAGAGGGGGGCAGGAAATGGAGCCAACACTTCAGATGAGTGGCGAGGCTCCCACCTACCCAGAGCCCAGCTAGGGCACCAGGGCCCTCACCAAGACAGCATGACAGTCACTCACTCCCTTTCCATGCCAGGGCTGCACAAACTGCCCTTTCTTGAAGATGATCCAATGTGTCCCGTGTTGGCCATAAGCCCCTGACTGGCCCCAAGACTTGTGGTGGGGGCTGGAGGCTCTAGTCAAAGCCAGGTTTAAATCCCTGTTTCTATTTTACCACCAGAGAAGAAATGAGAGTCAAGTTTAGGAAATGCCCAGTTAAGATATTCAGCCACAGGACAGCTTTTCATCAGTGTCCTCAGGACCAGCTTTTCATCAGTGTCCTCAGGACCAGCTTTTCATCAGTGGAGTAAGTCCTAGCCCTGGGCTACTGCTGCAGCAGAGGCAAGGGGACAACCTCAAGCCACAGGACAGCTTTTCATCAGTGTCCTCAGGACCAGCTTTTCATCAGTGGAGTAAGTCCAAGCCCTGGGCTACTGCTGCAGCAGAGGCAAGGGGACAACCTCACCCTTCAGCGCCGCCGGAAGGCCCGGGATATTCTCCAGGCGTTGGGCTCCTCGTAGCGGTTGTACAAGGGCTCGAGACGCTGCTGCTTCTTCTGCTTGCTCAGTTTGGTTGGGTCAGAGACCTTGAAGAAGGCCGGGGCAAATTCAACGAGCCACCGGGGGTCGATGGTAGTGACTTCCCGCATGTACTCCTTCGTGGTCAGCACCAGCTCATGGTACACGACCCTGAACGTGGACAGAGACAGGACTGAAGCCTCTGACACCAAACCCACTCCACAGTCCAACCAGCCCCTGGGGAGACATTCGTCTGTTTATGACAGCCATACCCCAGTACTGAGAAGCCTGCATACCTCTAACCACAAGAAAGCTCTCAGGAGAAGCGTTCTAGTCCTGGCTCTGGCTCTAACTAGTTAAGCGACATGGAGTCAATCACATCCCTCCTTTGGATCTCAGTTTCTTGCTCTGCAAAATGTAGTGAGGTGGTTTTTCAGACTGTTTTCACAGAACTCTAGGGCCCTGAAGAGGGACCTCAGACACTGTCACAGGGGATGGGGAATGCCAAGCAGACAAGGCCCTCCATCTTGCCAACCTTCTCCTACTTTGGTAACAAGGTGGTTTTAAATCAGTTTTATATTAGAGTTCTAGATAAGAGTCCAATTTTTAAAAAATGTTACTTTAAATAAATTTTTAAAAAACCACCTCACTAGATAAAATCCTTCCTACCTCTCACCCCTACAATTTTATTTCTCTCAAAAGGGCTTGATAATTGTGCCTAATTCAGGCTCCTGCTGCTCTAGAAATACAAGCAATGTTAGGATAGGAAGTGCTGAGGGTGTGAAGACACAGGCACAAAGTGGCAGGAGATTTACAGGTTTTCTCTTACCAGAACAGCCCCTAGACCCCGGGAGCCGCCACCTACCATTCCGGCTGTCTGTTGAAGAGAGCACTGGAAGGATGGATGTAGACCACCTGCTGGTCGATCAGTGTCCGGTAACCCTCCTGTGGGTCCTTCTTGGCAGCATTGCGGAAGAACCCGCTACAGATGGCCTTCTGCACTCGCACTGTAGACTTGCCACAGGAGACCACATCCAGTTTGTGTCTAAAAGAGGAGTAAGTCAAGACAGGACAAAGACATGAGCCTACCCCACTTTCAGAAGTTCTAACTTCCAGAATGAGGATGCCCAACGTCCCCATCCTGGGGTCCCCAGAGTCGTCACTAGGACTTGCCTTACAACCCTAAGTGTACACATAGCAGACAAGATGAAGGCAGTAAGAGCCAGACGCTTTGCTTTAGGCAAGAATTCAACTCCAACTAATAATCTTCCAGAGCTTGTAAACGAAGAGCATTTTTCAACAACTAATAAATCATCTTCCCCTTAGGAACTTTCTGAAATGATTCTCAGCCACACCCTTGCTTGGGGAGAAGGAGTGTAACAAAGATGGAAAAACTGGAGGAAAAGGGTTATGCAAAGTGCAAGATAACAGGTGCCTACAGCTTTATAGGTACACACAGAGATGAACAGAACCAGTACTCAAGAAGGTTCAATCCAAACATGGGGAAGTCACCAGATTCCCGGTTTACCTGTCCATTATGCCTAACATCTGCTTGCGAATGTCCTGGGCCCGGCGCAGGGAGCGAGCCTGGATAAAGTTCTCGTAGCACCATGGGTTGGAGAACTTGTTGTTCTTCCATGAGTTGTACACAGCCAGCAGGGTGAGGTGGTCCCCTTCCGTCTGGTGGAATTTGGCCTTCTTCTGATCTGCAAGGGCTTGTTTATCCTGTCAAGCAGTGGGACAGAGGATCATTTTCCACTTAATGGCTACTAACTGAACATCCAGCAGGAGCCCTACGTGGCCTTGCCCAAAGTGTCCTCCCTGAGCATCGACACAGGCTGACTTCACCCAACTTCACCGCACCCCTATCTGAACGCAGGTCTGAATAGCCTACCTTGGGCCTGTAGAAGACGTTCTGCACAGACAGCATGGAGACGATGGTCAGCATTTCCTCGCTGCAGCCCAGATGCACAGACATGATGAGCATTTTGCACAGCATTGGCTCCAGAGGGAACTCTGCCATCTAGAGGAAGGAAAAAAAACTACAACTGCGTCCCTGTGGAAGATGTACCTGGACTCACCAGTGTGACACTGGTCCGAGGGGTAACAGCACAGGAGATTTCCCCACACCCTGATGATGTGGAATGCCTGTCTCTATCAGAAGAATGTTGTTTTTTTTTTCTCTCCCAAATAAACCCCATGGAATATACATGACCAAAGACATAAATACTGTTGGGGTAGGTGGGAATTTGGCAGACACCTTGAAAAATTAAGGCTAGACTCAATAACATATCCTGAGGTAAAATCAATTGTGAATAGGATCCCTTTTTCTGTAAAGAAGAAACAGTTTAAAGTGATAGTGAGAAAATTCAGCATCTAAAAACAAGCATCTAGAATTCTACTCAAAGCTTATCTGGGGCCTCAGAGCTCAATTTTGTGCAGACCAAAGGCTATGAAAGGCTGACCAGGGAATCTTCCCCAAAGCAAAGGAAGTTACGTCTGTCCCCTACCCTGCGGCCTAGGCGAGTGAGCAGGCCCTCATCATCCAAGGCCCCCAGAGTGTACAGCTGCTCCATGGCTGTGATCAAGGTCTCCATTGGAGGGGCATCCATGAAGTCAAAGGACAGCAGATCATTGATGCCCATGGCCTAGAACAGAAGGGAAGAAAGCATGTGATGGGAGGGTCAGCCTCGCCAGTGTTAACGTGGAGGGAGGCTACTTGTCACTTTCTTTCCTGTTTCTTCAACTGCAATTAGTAAGCCATCAGCGAGATTAGCATTAATTTACAGGGTTGGGCCACACAAAACCCAGACTATCAGCAAGCAAGTACTTTCTCAGGAAAGTCTTAAAAAACACTCCCTCAAAATGACCATACATATAACTCAACAACAAGGACAAACAACCCAATTTAAAAATGGGCAAAGGACTTGAATAGACATTTCTCTAAAGATATACAAATAGCCAACAAGCACATGAAAAGATGTTCAAAGTCATTAGTCATTACGGAACTGCAAATCAAAACCACAATGACATACTACTTCACACCCACTAGGATGGCTGTAATAAAAAACAAAAACAAAAAAACCCCAGAAAATAGCAAGTGTTGTCAAGGACAGAAGAAACAGAAAACCTCATACATTGCTAGTGGGAATGGAAAATGGTGCAGCCACTGTGGAAAACGGTTTGGTGGTTCCTTAATAAGTTAAATAGATTTACTATATGATCCAGCAATTACACTTCTAGGTATATACCCAAAAGAACTGAAAGCATGGATTCAAACAGATATTTGTACACCAGTGTTCATAGCAACGTTATTCACAATAGCCAAAAGGTGGAAACAACCCAAATGTCCATCAACAAATGAATGAACAAAATGTGATAGATACATACAATGGAATATCATTCACCCCTGAAAAGAAATAAAATTCTTTTTTTTTTTTTTAAAAGATGACGGGTAAGGGAGTCTACCAACACCTTGGCTTGGTGTTGTCAGCACCACGCTCTCCCAAGTGAGCTAAACGGCCATCCCTATACAGGGATTCAAACCCATGGCCTTGGTGTTATCAGCACCACACTCTCCTGAGTGAGCCCTGGGCTGGCCCTTAAAAGGAATAAAATTCTGATACATGCTACAACATGGATAAACCTTGAAAATATTATGCTAAGTAAAATAAGCCAGATACAAAAGAACAAATATTATATGATTCAGCTTACATGAGATACCTAGAACAGGCAGATTCATAAAGACAGAAAGTAGAATAGTGGTAACCAGGGCTGGGGAGTGAGAGGGAAGTTATTGTTCAATGGGCACAAAGTTTCTGTCTGAGATAATGAAAAAGTTCTGGAGATGAATAGTGGTGAAGGTTGCACAACATTGTGAATATATGTAATGCCATTAAATTATACACTTAAAAAGGTAACAGCAATAGATTCCATGTTATATGTATTTTATCACAATAATAATTTTAAAAAGACAGTACAGCAGCCTGTCCTGTCTCTTACATATATCATTACCACTGTTCATCTAAAAAGCACCTCATACCATGTTGGGTGGAAGGGATATGAGAAGACAAAGATATGGCCCCTGCTCTCAAAGAGTTCACAATGGGTGAGAACTATGTTCGCAAAACCACAACACAGTGCAGTCTATGTGCCTGGCACACAGTAGGCACTCAATACATTTGTTACCTGATTGGAGGAGTAAAAGAAGTGACAATGATGCACTATTCAACTGTGAATAAAGGGTGATGTGGTAGGATCTAAGCTTTCTACTTCTTTATTCTAAAGTGACTGTGACAATAAATATAGTAGGTGTTCAATAAATGCTTATTGTATGAATAATAACTATGAGAAATTATGTTAGAAATCATTAAGCACTATGCCAAGTGCCTTTACCTGCATTAACCCACTTATCTTTAAAACAGATACTAGGGCCAGCCCGTGGCTCACTTGGGAGAGTGCGGTGCTGCTAACACCAAGGCCACGGGTTTGGATCCCTATATAGGGATGGTCGGTTAGCTCACTTGAGAGAGTGTGGTGCTGACAACACCAAG